CAAGCAACTCTTGCTACCGAAGCCTATTTCTTCTCTTCTTCAGCTGATCCTGCAGTCCTTTCACCAAACCCTGCTGAGATCCAATAATTTCTCCCCCTGCCTGTTTGTTGGCATACTTCTCCTTTTGGGCAAAAAACAGCAGATAAAACTGCTTTACTTTTCCCCTGCCATACCTTTTGTTCACTTAAACATCACATTTATCCATTTAAGCCCTGTGTCAAGGCTATTCAAATTTGCACGTACTGTGCCTGGGGGAGTTGGGCACACCTTATATTCTTCCCATCACTACCTGTCTGGAATTAATGGGTATGGCGTCCTGTCTACTACGCCAAAAAAGGGATGGCACACCCTTAAGGTGAAGGGAGCAGCCAAGATTCGTAAATGCTCATGGTTGAAAGAAATGACAAAAGTTAGATGGTCTGCAAAAAATCACAAAGTTTTATTATACACTTGGCATGGAAATTGGAGTGAGGAAGGAAGGAAGGAAGGAAGGAAGGAAGGAAGGAAGGAAGGAAGGAAGAGGAAGGAAGGAAGGAAGGAAGGAAGGAAGGAAGGAAGGAAGGAAGGAAGGAAGGAAGGAAGGAAGGAAGGAAGGAAGGAAGGAAGGAAGGAAGGAAGGAAGGAAGGAAGGAAGGAAGGAAGGAAGGAAGGAAGGAAGGAAGGAAGGAAGGAAGGAAGGAAGGAAGGAAGGAAGGAAGGAAGGAAGGAAGGAAGGAAGGAAGGAAGGAAGGAAGGAAGGAAGGAAGGAAGGAAGGAAGGAAGGAAGGAAGGAAGGAAGGAAGGAAGGAAGGAAGGAAGGAAGGAAGGAAGGAAGGAAGGAAGGAAGGAAGGAAGGAAGGAAGGAAGGAAGGAAGGAAGGAAGGAAGGAAGGAAGGAAGGAAGGAAGGAAGGAAGGAAGGAAGGAAGGAAGGAAGGAAGGAAGGAAGGAAGGAAGGAAGGAAGGAAGGAAGGAAGGAAGGAAGGAAGGAAGGAAGGAAGGAAGGAAGGAAGGAAGGAAGGAAGGAAGGAAGGAAGGAAGGAAGGAAGGAAGGAAGGAAGGAAGGAAGGAAGGAAGGAAGGAAGGAAGGAAGGAAGGAAGGAAGGAAGGAAGGAAGGAAGGAAGGAAGGAAGGAAGGAAGGAAGGAAGGAAGGAAGGAAGGAAGGAAGGAAGGAAGGAAGGAAGGAAGGAAGGAAGGAAGGAAGGAAGGAAGGAAGGAAGGAAGGAAGGAAGGAAGGAAGGAAGGAAGGAAGGAAGGAAGGAAGGAAGGAAGGAAGGAAGGAAGGAAGGAAGGAAGGAAGGAAGGAAGGAAGGAAGGAAGGAAGGAAGGAAGGAAGGAAGGAAGGAAGGAAGGAAGGAAGGAAGGAAGGAAGGAAGGAAGGAAGGAAGGAAGGAAGGAAGGAAGGAAGGAAGGAAGGAAGGAAGGAAGGAAGGAAGGAAGGAAGGAAGGAAGGAAGGAAGGAAGGAAGGAAGGAAGGAAGGAAGGAAGGAAGGAAGGAAGGAAGGAAGGAAGGAAGGAAGGAAGGAAGGAAGGAAGGAAGGAAGGAAGGAAGGAAGGAAGGAAGGAAGGAAGGAAGGAAGGAAGGAAGGAAGGAAGGAAGGAAGGAAGGAAGGAAGGAAGGAAGGAAGGAAGGAAGGAAGGAAGGAAGGAAGGAAGGAAGGAAGGAAGGAAGGAAGGAAGGAAGGAAGGAAGGAAGGAAGGAAGGAAGGAAGGAAGGAAGGAAGGAAGGAAGGAAGGAAGGAAGGAAGGAAGGAAGGAAGGAAGGAAGGAAGGAAGGAAGGAAGGAAGGAAGGAAGGAAGGAAGGAAGGAAGGAAGGAAGGAAGGAAGGAAGGAAGGAAGGAAGGAAGGAAGGAAGGAAGGAAGGAAGGAAGGAAGGAAGGAAGGAAGGAAGGAAGGAAGGAAGGAAGGAAGGAAGGAAGGAAGGAAGGAAGGAAGGAAGGAAGGAAGGAAGGAAGGAAGGAAGGAAGGAAGGAAGGAAGGAAGGAAGGAAGGAAGGAAGGAAGGAAGGAAGGAAGGAAGGAAGGAAGGAAGGAAGGAAGGAAGGAAGGAAGGAAGGAAGGAAGGAAGGAAGGAAGGAAGGAAGGAAGGAAGGAAGGAAGGAAGGAAGGAAGGAAGGAAGGAAGGAAGGAAGGAAGGAAGGAAGGAAGGAAGGAAGGAAGGAAGGAAGGAAGGAAGGAAGGAAGGAAGGAAGGAAGGAAGGAAGGAAGGAAGGAAGGAAGGAAGGAAGGAAGGAAGGAAGGAAGGAAGGAAGGAAGGAAGGAAGGAAGGAAGGAAGGAAGGAAGGAAGGAAGGAAGGAAGGAAGGAAGGAAGGAAGGAAGGAAGGAAGGAAGGAAGGAAGGAAGGAAGGAAGGAAGGAAGGAAGGAAGGAAGGAAGGAAGGAAGGAAGGAAGGAAGGAAGGAAGGAAGGAAGGAAGGAAGGAAGGAAGGAAGGAAGGAAGGAAGGAAGGAAGGAAGGAAGGAAGGAAGGAAGGAAGGAAGGAAGGAAGGAAGGAAGGAAGGAAGGAAGGAAGGAAGGAAGGAAGGAAGGAAGGAAGGAAGGAAGGAAGGAAGGAAGGAAGGAAGGAAGGAAGGAAGGAAGGAAGGAAGGAAGGAAGGAAGGAAGGAAGGAAGGAAGGAAGGAAGGAAGGAAGGAAGGAAGGAAGGAAGGAAGGAAGGAAGGAAGGAAGGAAGGAAGGAAGGAAGGAAGGAAGGAAGGAAGGAAGGAAGGAAGGAAGGAAGGAAGGAAGGAAGGAAGGAAGGAAGGAAGGAAGGAAGGAAGGAAGGAAGGAAGGAAGGAAGGAAGGAAGGAAGGAAGGAAGGAAGGAAGGAAGGAAGGAAGGAAGGAAGGAAGGAAGGAAGGAAGGAAGGAAGGAAGGAAGGAAGGAAGGAAGGAAGGAAGGAAGGAAGGAAGGAAGGAAGGAAGGAAGGAAGGAAGGAAGGAAGGAAGGAAGGAAGGAAGGAAGGAAGGAAGGAAGGAAGGAAGGAAGGAAGGAAGGAAGGAAGGAAGGAAGGAAGGAAGGAAGGAAGGAAGGAAGGAAGGAAGGAAGGAAGGAAGGAAGGAAGGAAGGAAGGAAGGAAGGAAGGAAGGAAGGAAGGAAGGAAGGAAGGAAGGAAGGAAGGAAGGAAGGAAGGAAGGAAGGAAGGAAGGAAGGAAGGAAGGAAGGAAGGAAGGAAGGAAGGAAGGAAGGAAGGAAGGAAGGAAGGAAGGAAGGAAGGAAGGAAGGAAGGAAGGAAGGAAGGAAGGAAGGAAGGAAGGAAGGAAGGAAGGAAGGAAGGAAGGAAGGAAGGAAGGAAGGAAGGAAGGAAGGAAGGAAGGAAGGAAGGAAGGAAGGAAGGAAGGAAGGAAGGAAGGAAGGAAGGAAGGAAGGAAGGAAGGAAGGAAGGAAGGAAGGAAGGAAGGAAGGAAGGAAGGAAGGAAGGAAGGAAGGAAGGAAGGAAGGAAGGAAGGAAGGAAGGAAGGAAGGAAGGAAGGAAGGAAGGAAGGAAGGAAGGAAGGAAGGAAGGAAGGAAGGAAGGAAGGAAGGAAGGAAGGAAGGAAGGAAGGAAGGAAGGAAGGAAGGAAGGAAGGAAGGAAGGAAGGAAGGAAGGAAGGAAGGAAGGAAGGAAGGAAGGAAGGAAGGAAGGAAGGAAGGAAGGAAGGAAGGAAGGAAGGAAGGAAGGAAGGAAGGAAGGAAGGAAGGAAGGAAGGAAGGAAGGAAGGAAGGAAGGAAGGAAGGAAGGAAGGAAGGAAGGAAGGAAGGAAGGAAGGAAGGAAGGAAGGAAGGAAGGAAGGAAGGAAGGAAGGAAGGAAGGAAGGAAGGAAGGAAGGAAGGAAGGAAGGAAGGAAGGAAGGAAGGAAGGAAGGAAGGAAGGAAGGAAGGAAGGAAGGAAGGAAGGAAGGAAGGAAGGAAGGAAGGAAGGAAGGAAGGAAGGAAGGAAGGAAGGAAGGAAGGAAGGAAGGAAGGAAGGAAGGAAGGAAGGAAGGAAGGAAGGAAGGAAGGAAGGAAGGAAGGAAGGAAGGAAGGAAGGAAGGAAGGAAGGAAGGAAGGAAGGAAGGAAGGAAGGAAGGAAGGAAAAACAGTAATTCACTGGAATGTAATTTTGAAACTTCCAGCACATGCAACATAACAACAAAGAGAGATTGTGCCTTCATCCAAAAAATACCTGAAACCTTGACTTGATGGATGTCCGATGACCAGTTCCTGGCCCTGCCCCAAGGAGCATATTTTATCTTATTAGAACTTAATATAAAGTGAATGAATAGGCAAGGGAACAAGGACAAGCATTCAGATTCTGGGAGAAGACTGGCATGCACTACCTGTTTGAACTCCACTCTGAACTGAGAGTTGGTAGAACTGTCTTTCCATGGTGTAATGCAGATTCCCAAGCCTCAGAGTTTACCTAAAGGCACTGGCCTGTACCCTGACTGGGTAGCTACTGCCAAAAGGAATCACCAGGATCCAACCTGCCCTAAGTGCTGAGTGCAGCAGGAGATATATAACCTTGCTCTGAGCCTGGCTGGCTCTTTTCTACTCACAGGTGCCAAGCCTGTCTTCCCTAGATGGGAGAGAAGAAATACCTACAACTTTTCTGCAAGTACTGGCAGGAGAGGAGAAAGTTGCTTCTCTCAAAGGCAAGGAGAAGTGCCTGCCTGTGACATATTATCTGGACACCTCTCTAGCACTGTCACATCTGAGCTTAAATGTTCTTCTCAGCCTGAAACCACTCAAATCACGGTCACCAGTGTCAAGAACACCAGGCTGCAGGACAGTTTTTTGGACTTGGAAAGATTCTTTCTATCATTGCTACTGCATAAAGCTCTGGCATATCACTAGGATATTCTTGTGACTTGCCAATAGGAATGGCTAACTCTTGTTTCAAAGTATTTTATTTCTTCTGCTGTTGCTTTCCCGTTTTCTAAACCAGTACACTGAGAGATCACACATCACCACTGTCTGTGTTTTGCTCTCGGATGGAAGAATAATGCATAGTAGTGAAGTAGCGACTGCAGCAGCTTCGGGGAAAACACTAAAAAAGCCGATGACGTCTAGAGACTGAAAGGAAGGCGCAAGGCCGTGCCGGGAAGCGACCGGGTCATCGCGGAGCCAAAGCCGGGTTGGGCAGCGGCTCAGCACGGCGGGCGCTGCAAACGGGCGGCAACCCGCGGAGCCAGAGCCAGGGGGGATGCGCCGCGCAGGGGGGAAACGGAGGGCAGGGGGGACACGAACCTGGGGAGGTGCGCGGCGGGGGGAGCCTGGTCTGCCCGCCCGGCTCCCTCTGTCAGTCCCAGGGAGGCGGCGGAAGCCCCGCTGAGTCACGGCGGGGGCGGTTCCGCCCGCTGAAAAATGCGGTCCGAGGTTCTGCCGGGCAGAGGGCGGCTCTGAACTCTTCCCCCGCTCTTTCTCTCCTCTCCTCCAGCACCGGCACAGACCGCACCGTCGGGCCCCGGCGTGGGACGCGCCCGCGGCGAGGAGCTGCGGCCGGCAGCCCGTGCCCGCCTCGCCCATGGCGCGGCCGCGGGACCCCGCGGAGCGCTGCTCCTGCCGCAACACCAACTGCGTGGAGCGGCCGCTGCGCCGGCTCTTCGAAGCGCTGGCGAGCGCCGTGGCCGCCTGGCCCTGGCCCTTCGTGCTGGTGCCGCTGCTGCTGTCGGGCGGGCTGGGCGCCGGCTTCCTCTTCCTACCGCAGCGGCAGGCGAACGACATCGAGGGGCAGTTCACGCCGACGTGGGGGCCCGCCAAGGCCGAGCGCGACTTCGTGCGGCGGCGCTTCCCCACCAACGACACGGAGCGCTTCTCCGCCCCGCGGCTGCCCACCGAGGGCGCCTACGCCGCCCTCATCGCTGTGGCGACGAACGGCACCTCGGTCCTGGAGCCGGCGGCGTGGGCAGAGGTGCTGCGGCTGAACGCGACCGTGCACGACGCCGAGTACGAGCGGCTCTGCGCCCGCACCGCCGGCGTCTGTGCCAGCCCCAACCCGCTGCTGTCGCGGCGGGGCGATGCGGGACCGCCCGCCCCGGGGAGCCTCCGCTTCCCCGTCAACGACAGCGTCTTCCTGGGGGCCGCGCTGGGCGGCGTGGAGACGGACGGCGGGCGGGTGCTCAGGGCGAGGGCCCTGAAGCTGGTGTATTACCTGCGGGAGGACGGCCCCGAGGCGCAGGACAGCCGGCAGTGGCTGGAGAGCTTCCTGCAGGGCATCAGTTCCAAAGTGGCGGAGTTGCGCCTCGGCTCCGTTCAGGTAACGCAGGGGCCGGGTACGGCCGTACGGAGCCGCCGAGCCCGAAATGTCCGGGCAGCCCCGTGGGGGAAAGGGAAAGGGAAAGGGAAAGGGACGGTGGTGGGAGAAGGCAGGTGGGCTCTGAGGGCCAGGCCAATGTTCCTCTGCCAGCTTGGTGTTTGGCCTCGCTTGTGCAGAAAGGCCAAGAAGAGGAAAAATGCTTCAACGTTTCTTGTTATTTTAACGGCAGGTGACTTACTTTACCTCACTGTCCAGACAACAGGAGTTTGAAGGAAATACTAAGAGTGTGATCCCGCTCTTCTCCGTGACGTATTTCTTAACAATAAGCTTTGCAGTCATCTCTTGCCTAAGGTAAAATATCTCTAAGACATAGCTCAATGAGCAGTGAGGTAAACTCTGTCAGTTGGTTTCTGCTCTTGTCAAGTGAAGGCATTCTTGAAGCTGCAGAATTTCTGTGACATTTTATAGGCAAAATGTATTTCTTTGCCATTTATTGTCTACGTATGTGTATCTCCCAGCTGCTTAGATGGTAGATGAAAACTTGAACAAGTGTTCAGTACTTTGTTAAGGTTCAGGTGGATGAGCAGTAGCTTCAAAGATTCCTGCAAGTCTGGGTACAGCCTTAGTTGTTTCACCTGTCAGTAGTCAGAACCTTACCTGCTGTCCATAGAGAACTTAATCCCCCCTTTCTTAGTGCTGATGGGAAAAGAACCCTTGTACACTCAACACCTGTACAGCAGTATCTGTGTCCTGTACTTCCAAAAAATTGGACTTGTAGGGTGAGTGGGCTGGTTTAGTGCTTGCATCAAGCGTCACACCTATTAGAGCATTTCTTGTGGTATGCTTGAGCCAGCCCTCCCAGGTGTCTTGGCAAAAGGCTGGTAGCCAACCTGCCTGCTGAGAAAGTTTCTCTACATGGCACGTAGTGCCTGAAAGTTGCTTCCACTGATATGCTACAGCAAAAACTCATGTAAAATCAAAGACGACCTAGAAACTCACAAATTTTTTGCATCACCCAAAGTCTCACTGCATTGGTAGAGCTTATGTATCCTTATTTTGTCATCTCTTGTTATTGATGCCAAGATCAGTACACATCCTTACTCCTCTGAATATATTTGGGCAGTGGTAATAATGTGTATAACACCTCCTAGAGAAATTAGCTTTGTGTAATGCTGACACCTGGGAACTCTCCTAGCAGCTTTCATCAGGAGTTATTCTGAGAGAGGGTATCACTGGTATGTGAGTACTTTTCATGCCAAACACCTTGGTGAAATATTTGACACATAACCAAGATATTCTGGGCTCTTCATGGTCTTGTTTTTATTCCAGTGTTTTTAACATTTTTTGAAAACTTTGGCAGATCACCCAATACCAAATCTAAAAAACTTGAGCTTGAGAAATTATAAAGGTTGGTTGTGACTAAGTTTAATGTGTTATAATTTATATTTATTATAAGTAGATTCAATTGTAATGACTGTCAGGGAATATAAGACATGAAGAAAATGAAAGACAAAAACAAAAAAATAAACACAACAGGGAAGGAAAGGCTTCAGAAAAGCCAGGTAAGAAAAATAAATTAAAACTTAGAGATTGCATTTGCATTTCTCATTTTTGTGTCAACATGTTAATGTTGTTAAATATTTTTTTGTGTTTACTGAATGTATTAAAGTTATTATAAACACTGACCACTGTGCCAGCTTAATGGACGACATTACTTGTTTGTCAGGACATGTTCACAGTGGGGAAGAGTAACTTCCATTGCACTGCGTTTTCCACCTGTTTGCCTTGGTGCTGTAACTCATCCCAGCACTGAGCTGGAAGACAGTTTTTTGCCCAGGAGGCTCAAATCTGGATGTTTTACAGCAAAATTACAAGAGATCAGAACTGTCCCAGACTGCAATAACTCATAAGCCTTCAGGAGACAAAATGTGCTTAGGTTCCTAATGCAGCACGAAAAAACCTTGGGAAAGACTCACCCCAAGCTGACTCCCATTTTCTATTCAAAACCTTTTCTTGGTGTCCTGTTTTCTAGCTAAGGTTGAACATCTGGTACCTTTAAAAAGTTTGTGTGTAGCTTCTGTTGGCTGCAGTTTGCAAAGGATGTGCTGTAGGTTATTGAACTTGCATGGACCTACTGAGTAACCACCCTGGGAGATGCTGCGCTATGGTATGACAGGGCAAGAATTCTCTAGAGAGAATCACAGCCTGATTCGAGACAAAGTGAAAAGGCAACTCAGGTTTAAGCAGATCAGTCCTAAAACTGTAAACCCATAAATTCCATTCTGTTCATCCTGAGGAGCTTTCACTGAATAAGAGCTAAGAATATACAAGAAGTGGCCTTCTAAGTTGTAGGGACAAGACAGAAGGTAAAAGCCAATTCATAATTGGTTGCCAATATCATGAATGACCCCTTGGAAATAAAGTGAATGATGGTAACTGATGTAATTCTGGAAAAATTGGTGTAGAACTTATTAAACCATTTAGTCCAAATCTACTGCTGTGGAGGGTTTCTTCTGACTGAGCAAGTGGGACAGAGTCTGCCTCTGTTTCCTGTAACTTCTGGCCCATTTCATGAGACTCAGTAGACAGGGCAGGATCTTTCTGTTTCCTCCAGAACAGTTTTTGAAAGAGTAGTGAAAGAGTGAAAACTACTATTAATCTTTGAAGAAATCTGCTCCTGAACTCAAAGTCAAAACTCCATGCTGAATCTCAGAATTACAGCTAGCAGCATTAAGTTTCCAGGACACGGCACTAAACACAAACCTAGACTCGTGAAAAAACAAATGCACTAGAGTCCCCACTTCTCCCATTAAATGTTTCATGGTCCATACTAGTGCTCTAATGGCAAATGTTGCAGCCATTTATGCACTGATGATGCTGTGGAAGGAGCAGATGATGCTCTCATGTTGACCAATGCCAGAGGAAGGCCTCTTAATAAACACGTGTGAGTGATGGGTTTGGAAAAAGGGAAATTTACTTCTGAGGGAAGGAGAGAGCAGCCTATTTAAAGCATGTACTCTTGCCTCTCATAATTTTGTTTGGCTATCTTTTAGAAGCAAAGATAGGTCTCCTTACTTCTACCCAAAGTTGCCAAGCAGATCGATAGACCAGAAAGTTAGGAATGGCTTGGTTGCTCTATCTTCACAGCCAGTTTAAAGGATTAAGATTTAGAAAACTCTTCTGACATTTCAGCTGACTCAGGTCATCACAGAGCAAGAAGCAGCCAGAAGGAGCAGCCACAACTTTCACTGGAACTTTGCATTTTCTTTGTGTTAAGCTTGCTGGTAGAATTCTGGTATGCCAGCCTCATGAATACAGAAAATTCAGAATTATGTCCAAGTTTTAATTTCTTATTTTTATGTGCCACCCTGCTTGTGATCACTTTAGAGGTATTTAAAAAGCAAACAGTGTATCTAAGCACTTAGCTCTGCCCTGTTTTCAACAGCAGGAGGCTGTTCCTACTTAAAGGAACACCTCTCTGATTTCTGGAAGCTGCTTTTGTGGTTGTGATGTGTTGACCCTGGCTGGACAGCAGGAGCCCACCAAAGCCACTCTATCCTTAGTTTTCTCTTAGGAAAGAGAAAACACAGCAAAAGGCCTGTGGGTTGAGATGAAGGCAGGGAAAGATCACTCACCACTTACCATCATGGGCAAAACAGTTTTGAGTCAGTAAGATTAGTTGCCTATCAAATCAGAAATAAAACCAAATTTTAACACCACCTCTTCCCCTACCCCTCTTCTTTCCTGTTTTCATCTTCACTTCCACTTTTCTCTACCTCCTCCCCCTCAAGCAGTCAGAGCAGGGTGGGGGCGGGACAGGAACCGGGGTTGCAGTCAGTCCATCACAGGTTGCCTCTGCCGCTCCTCCCTCCTCAGGGTGAGGAAGACTCTCACTCCAACCCTGCTATCTCTCCTTCACTGACCTTGGTGTCTGCAGAGCTGTTTCTCTCACACACTCACTCCTCTCTCTCTGGCTGCAATTGCTCTTGGGCAGAGCTTCTTCCCCTTCTTTGAGTGTGTTGTCCCAGAGGCTTTACCACCAGGGCTGATGGGCTCAGCCTTGGACAGGAGCAGGTCCTCCTAGAGCCGTCTGGCAGTGCTCTACTGGACACCGGGAAGCTTCTGGCATCTCCCAGATGCCACCCATGCAGCCTCCTCACTACAAAAACCATGCCACACAAACCCAACCCAGTGCTCTCCTATCTCTGAAAGGAAAAATTCCAGGTCCTAGGTGCTCCCAAGAGCACAAGCGAGCAAATCCAATGCTTTAACAAACAAGTTTCTTGGAATATGTTACACATATGTTACATGCACAAAACCAATTAGGAATGACAGTAAACTCTTCAGTAGTATTTGTGCTGTTAAGTTGGCCAGAAATCAAAGATACCCTTTACACTTTATGGCTGATCTTGTAATAATCTTTCATGACCCAATGATATATCACTTTTTTTTCCTTTTTGATACTATCCTATGCATATAGCAAGAAGCTTTTGAATAAGAAAAGTTGGACTTCAAGAACTTACCCTCCTAAACAAGATCATTCAATACAGATTTTAGTAACTTCAAACAAAAGTTCTTTTGCTTCTCTTAAAGGCAAATTCACATTATTTAGCTGGAAAAGATCACTTCCAAGTCCTACTACTAAAGCAGCAACTGAAAAAAGGTGTGAATTTCTAGGGAGAACATTCCCTAGAAATCTCACTTAAAGAGAGTGCAATTTTTGCCATAATTCTTAAATTTATTTACAATTTTAAATGTTTTATACACCTCAATTTACATACTAGGGAACCAGGTATTACATCTTATAGCAATTTACAGTGAATAAGAAGAAAACCAATCTGCGTAATTAAAATTAACCTTTATTACTCCAAAAACAGATGTCAAATATGCAGTATACTTCTGTTTCTATTGGCCTATTTCCAAAATACATGTACAACTGTAACTAGTCAGCCTAGAACATTTCCTATACCGTTTTATAATATTTGGACATTCTCCCAACACTGAGCAGGATGCCACTATAGTAAGTTGACAAAAAGAGGCAAAAAAGAAAGTTGATCTTGTTTTGAAAGGGAAAAAAAAAGCATGTGCTCTTACTAAAAAAACTAGGTCATAATCAAGCATTACACTCAGAAAATTCTAAAATACTATGTTACTTCTAGTTTTAGGTGTTGCTATCAGTTTCCATTCACATTTCTTGGCACCAGCCCAACTATTTTCACGTCCAAAAAAGGTAACCCTCAATATTAGTATGCTGATACATGCCCTCTCTGCAACAGAAGCTTGTAATCCCACAACACTACAACTGATTGTGCAGAAGGATTATGATCAATATGTTATTCCTAAAATCCAGTTCCATGAGATCAGAGGAATACTGGCATATAGTTGCTAGCCATCACTTCCACTTGATTGGAACTAGTCTTGTTTTCCAAACCTTTTTTGTATTTTCTTAGAATTTCCCAAGGTTTCTGTAAGGGTTGAAAGAAAAGGTTTTATTTCCCTACTTCTACCAAGAACAGAACTAGGAATGTTATTTGAAACAACACATGCTTCAAACTTTTTCTGAATTACTTTTCTGTGAGCGATGTTGTCTCCTTCAAAGAGATTATCTGTTGGATTATCAAACGCCATACATAGTACTAATATAAACTAGTTCTGTAGAATCTCCAGCAGTGTAAAAGCACTGTCAAAGCACTGTCATCTGCCTACTGCAGTAATAAAAATTTTAAGAAACTTGTCAGCAGCACATCAGAGGTCACAGGTATTTCTCTTATCCCTGCTATGGTTCTACCCAAAACATGGTCCAAAGAGGTTTAGACACATTTAGCCTGTTGTTGTTGCAATTTCTCTCCCAGCCATACATGTGTGTATCGTAACCCCAAGAGTACTGGATACATGACCACTAACATTTTTGTCTAGTATGGTGCTCCCACAACGTAGCTTGTTCATTCTTTGAGATGTTTTGTTTTGTTACATTTCTAAATAAGAAGTTTTTAACAGTGGTCTCTAACCTCAAACACAGTATGAGCAATAGCTACATGACATACTATTGCTTTACATCTCAGTCTGTCACTCTCCGTAACACCCCAGAGCACATATTGTGAGGTATAACTTCAAACACACATGTAGCAGCACAGCCCAGGCAGCTGTGCCAACACACACCAGTGGATCTGCATGTTTTTCTGCTCAGCTTCAACACATTTGATTGAATCAAAATGCTGAATTCAACCCTGAGATTTATCCTTCTGAATAACTTCTTGTGCGAAGAGTATAAGGAGCAGAGGA